GGTCTTCATCTAAAGATCTCTTTTCTCTATATGGAATATGTGGAAAAGTGGGGTCTCTTTTGGTTGTAAACTCTATACCATCTGTGTGTCCATCTCTGGCAGCGTTTTCAAATTTCTTATCTCGGGGAGGTGCCGTGGTTGTCTTTACATCCCATGCACATCGTTTTTGTCGCTGAGACCTTTGAATGTATTGTTCACCACTAGTGGTTTCTGCATCTCCGTCTTTCCCATCGTCGCTTTCTTGACCGTAGTCTACGTCGTCTTTCTCGTGGAAAGCAGAATCATAGAGTGCCAGACTTCCATCTACTTTTAAATCTGTCCATGACCCTTGAGACCACTCTGGAAACCTAAATGATATAATCAATTTTACTTTTTATAATATGCAGAAGATCAGACTTTATTGTTATAATACAAATACGATGGGCTACTGTGGAGTATTTGAATTATACTTATACCATTTACTAATTAAATAGAATATTAGATCTCTACTAATAATATATTCGTCATATATTATGTCTTTTATTATAACAATGTGTACACAAATAATTTGACTGAATTAACTGTTTGTACTATTAAAAAATATTTGATAATTTTTATATTAGACACTTTGGGGTTGCTTATTTATACGCTAAAACACTTCAATAATTTAGATGATAAAAAAGAAATTTAAAATTAAAATATCAAAGTACTTCTATACAGGATCCTTCTTACCTTTAAATTTAATAATAGGTTAGGCTTAATTCACTCTAGTACAGAAGTTTTCAAACTTTTTATGGTACGACCTATTTTGGGAATTTTTCAAAAATTGGAGACCCAAGACTCACAACAATGACTTTTTTTAGTGAATCAGTTGTTTAAAATCAAAAATAAAAAAAGATAGATTTTATAATTATTTAGTTAGTTAAAATAGTAAAAAAAGAGTATAATATATTAGTAATTTAATTAGTATAAAATTTTAATGAGAAGGGTGTAATTTGATGTAACTTTGAACATCAACGAGAAGTATGTGTTATTTAAAAATAAAGCGCGTCCCACCAAAAATACCATCGTGACCCAAAAGTGGGTCGCGACCGACAGTTTGGGAACCTCTGTTCCAGTATTTAAAATAACCGAGTAAATTGAATTTTTCTTGACGTAAGATGTGTAATATATGCATTAATATAGTAATAATATGCATTATTAAAACGGTGAACAACACATTAAATAATTTAAATTATATTCCTATCCAGGTTGTGTAACTAGATCCTAGAATATATTATTATTTATTATCTGATACCAATGAGTGCTGTAAAATAAAGGTATTTTGTACAGTTGTTATTTGAGGAAATAAGTAGTGAAACATTTAACAATACCTTCATAGTTTTACTACTTTAATACTACCTACTCAAATATTTTCAACTAAGCAAGTTGACATTTATTATGTGCGTTTGATAGCTTTTTGCCTTGATAGGAGATGACTCTAATTTTTGTAATATATAGTATGTTGGTTTTAAAGTATATTAAGTATATTATGCCTGTATGTGGAGACTAAATAAAAAAAAGTAATTATCTATTGAGCATTGGGAGTATAAACCCTCTTCATAAATTCCTGAACACTCTACTGAATACAATATTAAATATTATCATGAAATGATATGTAATGTGGTCACTACAACACTAACCTGCATCCACCGCTCTGTACTTCTGACCTCTTTTTCCTCCACACGGGCGTTTGTTGCAAGTCTTTAGTAAAATGGAGTGCTACCGTCCCATCGGTAAAATGTCGGAACCCTTCAGGAACCTTATGCTCGGATTGTTTCATTCTCTCCGATAGACCCTTGCACGATTGATTAGCACTAATCATCATTTGGATTGTCGGTGGGTCTTCGTTGACAGTTTTGTATAACTACAGTAAGGTGAACAGAAAGAGGAAGAAATTAATTAATCAACAGTAACTTAAAATATATATTATAAAAGAATATAAGTACACCCGAAACCCAACACTATTCCCAACAATCAACGCTACTGTGTCTTTGGCCCGTAGATTTCATAGCAATAAGATTATAGTTAAACAATGAGTGATACAATTTTAAAGATTACTATGAACAACGATAGTGATCTGCGATAACTGTGGAAATTTAAACTATTTTACGGCTAAATATATTACTTTTTAAAATGGTACTATACTACTATGGATTAGTTGCTGATTGGTAATTGTTGATAAATAGTTGAGTATCATGTTTTATACAACGCATACACTTGTTAACTATAAGAAATACATATGTAATGTAAAGACAATCAAACTATCAAAAATCGTTTAGGTTAATTTGTTTTTATTAATTTAATTAGGTGAACAATGTTCTAAGTCGAGCAAAGTTGAGGGAGGTACAGTTAGGCCAAAGGTATTGTTTGCTAGCGGTATACAATTCTGAGATAAAAATAAATAATAATATAAGCCCATTCCAACTATTATTAGTCTTTTAATTTTCAGAGTGGACATTTTGAACTTTTCAAAATCACAAAACATTTTATAATAAGGACATCTATGCTACCTATGTATGTGTTATATCAGTCATGAAAAAGAAAGAGGGTGTGTGTTTAAAAATTCACTTCGTCGTTATTTTATCGTGTGGCCCTCTATTCACACAGGTTGATTAAATTGTTTTTTGTTTGAAATCGTCTAATTTGATAATATGATAATATGATAATATATATAATAGATATGTGTATACTCACAGCACATCTGTAGTCTTGATGTCCAGTCCATCTTGCAGTCCGGTCGAATAACATAACATACCAGCCTTCAAGTTTGTCTTCCTCTGTGAAGAACGGATGTTTGTCCATACATTCAAACACGTAATGGTCCATATCTGTCAGTGTGAAAACAAAAAAAATACATGAGTATGATGAATATAATATTTTACTTAAATTTAATATTACATTTTTTATAGAAACAATAATTTTGTTGACACATAAACTATTAAGACTTAATACATCAATACATCATACCTATTATTTTCTGATGTTCCTACTATTATGCCGGAGTAATTGGTTATTAAATGGAAATGCGCTAGAGAATTTTATATTTGTGTTGTTATAATTGAGTCTTGCGAGAGTATGATAGTGGAAGGTTAAATACATAAGATATAATAATTAATATAGCATTAGAATAAAACATGACATATTATACACGAAATATGTTTTCCAAAAAATATATTTTATACTTGAAAAATATATTTTGTCTATTAAAAAAAAAAAAAACTGTGTATAAAAACGGAGAACTGTTAGACATTTTGTTTTAATACTTCAAAATAATGTCTACTCATTTAAAATAAATTTTGAGTAAAATTTAGATTTTTATTGTTCATAAGCTATCATTTTTATTGTTGTATATTCTGTTATAATAGGAAAATATTGACTAAACTTGTTGCCGCTGTTACTGCAGTATCCGATGAAAAAATACACAAAAATCTGTATGAGATCGACGAATCGCGTCACACGACAAGTAAATATCAACCTGTTTGATTTTATTTAGAATTTATTACCTATAGCCTATTAGTACAGAAATTTCGAATTACTGAAGAAACGCTTACCTATACTACAGATTAAAATGTTAATTAATAACACAATAGGTAATATCAATAAAATAATTTATCACTTATTATTTAAATTTGGATTTGACTCACTACTTGCAGGATTATGTGGGAAATAAGTATATATACTCATCTCTAGCCACTTGTCAGTTAAATCCAAATTAAAATAATGAGTGATAAACTATTGTATCAGCTTTCAAGTGTTATTTAGATTGTATGTCTATAAACGAACATTTAAATTAAATATATAATATGTATGTCAAATGTGTACTCTATGCAGGTGATCTGCTAAGGAATACCATTCGGAAACCGCAGTCATAGCAGTTGTGATCACCTGTGCAACTCGAGATAAAAATTAAAAGGTATTTATTGTACTCGTATTTAAATTTACACCAAAAATATCGACTATACTCTGTCCAGAGAGAGAGAACTCGCCGGTTTCGAGCATCAATCTGCGTCACCCCGGTTCACCTATGGTAGTGTATCGCGTGGGGGAAACAGATTTGGTCGGTGCGCGGCGCGTTCTCTCGCTCGACAGAGTATGCATATTATAATATTTAATATACTCGTATACGATATTTTAGACGGGAAGAACTTTCTTGGACCCAAAGATGCGGTGAAGGATCTTCACCCCTCACCTTTGTGCTGTAATAATAATGATTTGTTATACGTACTTTTCTCTCCACACCCTCCACCGCCACCGAATTTGAGACTGCCCAGCCACAAATTAAACGATGGTACAATGTGGCGATTTGGTGGTACCATGGAGACACATCCACCTATCTCCGGCGACGTAGTGCCTAGTACTTTTACGCTAAATCTCTCATCCGGGTTTCCAAATGGTGGGCAGGCTCCTTTGATTCTTTCCAAGACGGCTACAGAAAAGAAGACAAATACAACATTACATTATAAGCTTATTATACTGTTTGTATACAATATTGTTATTGCACGCACACACATAAAGTACATGGTGATTAGGTAATAGATGTTTATAATTTAGATAACATAGGTATTTTGAGAATGAATAATCGGCTGGTCAAATTACAATTGAATATTTTAATCGATACTTACGATAGGGATAGGGAACACGCTCAGAATACTATAGATAAACACATTACTTTTCCCCTTGGTTCATTCATTATCGTTTCTATATAACGAATCAGGTGACTTACCTCATAGCCGTAGCACCACTAAAAGTATTACCGTGTTACTAAAAATGATTATTCAGGTACTCGATTAAACCTGCTTTTTTACGAAGACATATTATAATTATAATTTTGCTATAACAACTATTATATCTATTACAGAATTTGTATTTTGTCCCCGTCACGATTATCGGAAGTTCCCATTAAATACTTCAGCCACCGCGGTCATGCAAATGTTCTCGGCACCGGCTATGACGCTTACGGGTAGACGCAAGGGTTGCGGGAGTATTCAGGACGAGTCCCGGACCCGGCCCCGAACCGCCTGCCTGCCCCTGCTTCAAGGTAGTCCTCAATTCACCTCTTTTAGCTCAGCCGAGCCGACGACCCTGGGTTATCATATTGTTACCAGACGTCGGTCCTCACCTTTCAATTGTGACAGTTTATCATAATATAAGTGCATGTTTTTAAGCGATGTCGTTTAGTGCGATGCAATAGGTATGTTTTTTTGATTATTACCTACGTTGCACTAGCTCCGCTTCGGGTAGGCTAGTAGGGGGAACCGCATATAGGTGATGGAGGTATGTGCAGTTGAAGTGAGCGATGTCATAGATATCAGTAGCGGGGGCACGGACGACCGTTCGTCTGGGCGCGGACTACTAGTTAGGCTGATTAAGAAAGGGATGTTCCTATGTTAAGGATAGGGTGTTGTATTTTTTTTTTCTAACCACAAATAGGCAGGGTCTCCCGATCATGTAAAGTCCGAGCCACGGGCGGTCCGAATACGGGTGTTAACTGGAACCACCGGGACCCGCCTGTCGCCCGCGCCTGACGCCTCTAACCCAGACCGCCAACGTCGAATATCCGGGACACAGCATATACCCGGTTTAAAGGCTTGCGTTAAGAAGGTTATCAAAAACGTAATGATTAGCTTTAATCATTAGGTTGATTTTACTAGTAGATCATGGTACAGTGGTACACCATCATCATTAAAATATAATTATTTTAGTCTTTAAGTCTGTTATATAAGTGTATACTGTATAACAATTGATTTATATTCCAAACCATCTCCAAATAATACCTATTAAGTGTCTTTATTTTCATTTACAATATTATTACCATATATATTAGATACAAAGCATTTTGACATAACTTGTTTCACACCAACCGTCTGCCTACGACGATTTACTGCTTCGTAATATTATAATAAATTGACAATGTATTCATTTATATGAATTCGATAAATCTGTTTGACAAACTTATTGATTTGTCTAAAAATAATCGATCCCCAAAAAGAGTCATGTTCCCAGTTTTTAACCGAAAATTGTTGATACGTTTTGTATTCACTCTACCCTAAACAAAGCATAGGATGGATGCATTCGATGGATTTGTATGTAATATCAAATTTGTAATAGTTAGGTCGTGTTGGTTTTTAAATACTTTATCTGTAAATGTGACATATTTGGTACTTGAAAATTAATGAAGGCAAAAACATCAATTATACAACCTAAACTATATAATATGTAGCTGTATAACAAAAATATATAAGTAGCTATATGTAGCTGTATAACAAAAATATATAAGTAGCTATATGTTTCTCTATACATGCAACTATTTATTTGCGTTTTTGTCTCGTATATAGGTTATACGATGCCTTTAAAATCCAAACACTCAAATTAAAAATCAATGCGACCATCCTAAGCGATAAAATTAATTTCTTACCTACAAATTAATAATAAAATAATTACTACAGCGTACCTATAATTAAGCATGTCGTGTTGATTTTTATATATCTCAATATTAATGATTCTTATTCGGTACGTAAGTAAAGTACGCGAAAATCAATGAATAAAATAAAATTGAAATTACAATGCAACTATATAAGTTGCTGTATGTGGAAGTATATTAGTTACTACATTTTTGTACATATATGCCCATAATTTGCGTTTTTGTCTCGTGAATGGAATATACAATGACTTCAAATACAAACATTTAAACTAGAAATCAACTCGATCTTTCTAAAAGCAATTTTATGGAGGCCATAATAGTGTACCCTATAATAATAGGAGATTTGATTCGAAAATAATCAGAGAAACGATAAAAGCTGTTCACACTTGGGTGTGTGTGTGTGTGTGTGTGTTTTTTTTTAAATTTTTAATCGTAAGTTTTACTTAACATATTGTTATGTCGGATTGATCTTTTAAAATAAAATGTGTTACTGTTAATAAAATATATAAAAACGAACGAATAAGTTAAAATTTGAGTTACTTATCATACAACCAACTGTATTCATCGAATCAGGCTGGTGTGTTTCTGAATAATATATTTCTATAATTTGCTATAATATGTTTGTCTCGTATAAAAGGGCGCCCGTGGGAATATAAACCGGAGAGGAGGCCCAAGTCTAAAGTCTTTGGTAATATAGCGCATGCTATAATATCATTTTTTTTTTTTAGTAGTGATAATACAACTAATAGTAACTGAAATAGTGGAAGGCACGGCCATCTCGGCACCCCCCCCCCCCCGCCCCTGCTGACGCCCTTGCTCGTATGCAGATTATACGATGACTTTAGAACCCTTTACACTTTTAAGTAATCAATGCGACAGCCATGTCATTATATTTTGTATCTATCACTCATCCATTATATTATAATTTGTAAACCAAGTCGATAATAGCGGTGGCGACGTAATTTTAAATTAATTCACTCGATGAGATAAACATACGTACAAATCTTATAGTAAAACTTATTTAATTGTAATTTTGTGTAGCTCATAAAGACCTACGAATTTAATTTGTGTTTAATTTGCGCGCCACGGCAGGCACCCGCTTTGGCGCGCCCCTCCTTGTTCAAGATTATATTCCTATAAGTAATTTTTTTCTTATTCAAATTTTCAGTCGTGAATTTAACCCTTTTGATTATATGCCAAGGCAAAATAAAAAAGGGAATCTTATTACAAAACGACTCCTACCCCCATTTTGTGTTAATTCCGTTTTTTAGCCACAAAATCTCTTCATTGGTTTGTACTCGCCCTACCCTACACTAAGTATTGGTAGTGAGCTATTGTGGCTAACGCGATAGATATATGAGTAGTAGAAAAATGTATTATAATCATTGTAAGGTCGTGTTGGTTTTTCATACATATCACTGTACATAAGAATTGATCGGTACGTAATTAAAGTAAGCGAAAATAATCAATTACAAAAAAATTGAAATTATAGTGCAACTACAATATGCTGCTCCTACATTAGAAACACAAAGAGTAGACATAATGATTCACTATAGTTGTTCTTATAATTTGCACTTTTGTCCCGTATATGACGTACCTACCTATACGATGACTTTAAAAATTAAAACACTAGAACTATAAAAACCAATGCGATCGTCGTGTAATCTTTATTATTTATTTGTATTTGACTATTTATGTTATAATGCGGAAACTGTGTCAACAATAAACGAAAAAACAATGTAGAAACATTTCACACGTGTGTGTTGTTGTAATTTGGTTAATTGTAATTGTCTACTCATAACATACAACGATTCTTACATGTACGCCATGTGTAACAAATTAAAATAATAAAAGATAATGTTATAGGAATTAAATAACTGATTTATTTTTTTTTATTCTCCTACCTAATTAGTATGTAGTACTAGTTAACTGATGTACAAAAATTATGTTTTGTGAACCGAAATAATAAGTCAACTACCTATATAGACGATATTACGATGATTATGATTTTTGTATTGGAAAATAAATATCACAACATTAATGAAAATAAATGTACAATAACTGTGTTTTTGTTTGGGTTTTCGTCACTTTTGTATGTCATATATTACATAACCTAAAAGAATTTCGTTAATCTGTTGAACCTGTACAGCACAAATAAATATATAAAATATCGATGTATGACCATCATACGGATGATATTATTATTATATAAAAATACATAGTCGTTTGTAGGTATAAATACAAACAATAATTGCAACTGTATTTTTTCTCTCACTGTTATTTGTTAACCTATTGGCTTATAGCTTAACATAGACAAATATTTTATTGAGGCTGAAATTTTCCTACGCAAAACAAACCGATTAATAATACTAATACAATCATTTTCTTTTAATTTTTTTTTTTTTTTTTGGTGGGGGGGAGGTTAGATTCTTAGCTACAAAAATGATTTTTGCAATAATATTATACAAAGTGGATTGTTATTTAGTAGCACGAGGGGGGGGGGGGGGTATAATAAGACACACACAGTAGGAAAGTGTGGTCCAATATATCTACAGCTGAAAGAAATTTTCGCCAATTAGACAAATGTTGTATTAGAACGCGTAGGTAAGTAAGTCACTTTGCACAGTATCGAAGAAGCGAGTACACAAACACCAAGATTACCTCATTCGTACTGCTTACTGTTTGTCTGTTTATGTTTGTAATATCAAACATGTAAGTGTACCTATACTTATTATATGTATATGATGGTATAAACGCAGGTATTGTTATATTTTTTACTGTATCGGGTATACTGCGACAACTGTTTGAAAATAATATCATAACGAATGTAAAAACAATTATACTAAAGATATGTCGTTTATTAAAAAATGAATGTATTAATTATAATATGAATATATATTATATTCGTATAAGGTATAAGAGTTAAATTAACAAACAGGTAGGTACCACGGAGCGTACCAGTGGAGTATTTAGGGGGGGATGGGTGCTCTGGTTGATACATAGAG